CGCGTTTGACTTCCCGCCTCAACCCTCTTTTTTATCTTCCGATCACCCTCGTCTTCTTTTCCGGTTGTATTCTCTCTTTCCCGCCCCCTCTCTCGCTGGACCTCAACGAGGGGTAACTTCCTCTCTCCAATGGCGAATGATTGGTTCGAGGTAGCCTTCATACCCACAGTGGTGGAGTCTATAGGATCCGCATCGCCTCTCCAGTGGCGGCGATTCGTCGTGAGCTCCCTCATAAACCCTAATCTCGCTCCTCTTTTCGCCCAAGATTGATGCTAGTCGCCGATTCTGGATTCAGGTTCAATTGTGGTCCAAAAGCTTCCAACATCGGCGTCTATCATTGCTTTTGATTTGATGCGTCTATCATTATATCTTAGGTCATTTCGATACAATTTGATGCGTCTATCATTGATCGTAAATGGCGCCGGCTACATGAAATCGGTCCTTTCCACGATCGTTGCTCAGCAATGCTTATCTTTCTTTGCTTTTGATTCTTGTAATAGAGGAATTGAGGGCAGCGGAGGACTTCATTGCGAACTTCCTAGGTCATGGCTCAAACAAATTCTAATGTCTCTGATGTTCACAATTTGCTACTCATTCTGTATAATTATGTTCCATACTTTATTAACGAATCACTTATTCACATGTATGGTATTACAAAACATGAAACCTTTGGGATTCTCTTGTTCCTCTTTGACATCATTTGTTTGTGATGTATGAGTTGCAACATTTCTTGTATGATATGATCTTTGTTACCTCTCGGTTTTGTTCAAAGTCTCACATATTGATAATGTTAGATTGTCTCTTGCATCTATACCTACAAAGCTTGTTAGATATGCATCCACATGCCCATGTGTCTGCCTCTTATTAGATTCTTCAGTTATGGTATTCCAATATCATGATATAATAATCATTGCAAGTGGATCTTATTTTACTATTCCATGCTTCTTTGAAAGAGAATTTCCAACGTTTCACCAGAACAGCTCTAATCATATTTGTATCAGTAATTTCTCCCTCTTGCTTTCCTCAGGATTCCCTCTCAAGGAATAAAAAGGTAGAAATTGAAAATTATGTGTTCCCTCTTTGTTTGAAGAAATATCCTATTGCCTAGGTGATAATTGCATGGTGACCTAAATCACTTTCTTGTGTCTTCTTATTAATTCTGTCTGCAGTATTATCGGCAGCAAATTATATGGTGAGATATTCTTTCTGCTACACATTTAACTCATTATCCACTTGCCCTTTTTCAGTCTTTTCCTTACTCTTCATTAAAACATGCTTGTTCTAAAGTTTTCCACTGGTCTTGTTCTAAAATTTTCTTTTGCTGATAGGAAAAAACATGCTTGATCTTGTAAGCTGACTCATATAATCATTTGTTGTACCTGCCATCAGTGTGAATACGGAGCTTAGGTTAATTGTTTTAGATTTCTAATGTTGCTTGGAGCATGTTCTTAGGTCTATTAGCTTGCATATTAATGAGTGTTTGATGTTTTTCATGCACTAATTTATTAGCTTTTAGTCTGCTGTATTTTTTTTATGAGGATCTGTACAGAAGGATCCTCAAATAGCATCCATATTCAGAAAAGTAGTCAATTAGCTTTTCTTAAGAAATATTTTATATGCTATCTCATCAAGGAAGTACATCAAAAATGCCTTCATTGTTCACCCTTGTAGTGCCATGGATGATATGACTGAAGTTTTTCCAGAAGAATCAGTTTTTTCAGTGTTGACATTCTGCAGACTGGTGACATTGGAAGAGTTTTTGAAGATATGATTCTTAAGCTATGCAATTCTTCAGTATAGGCAATTCTGTATTGGATCAAGTTATTTAGTGATATTGCAAGAAGCACTGACCATTCAATATGGAAGCTTGAAAGTCTGGGTGGCTGTCGTTTGTAAGTAGCTTCTTGCTGTCCTTGTTCTAATGTTTACATAACAGTTTAATGTCCGTAGAAGATCTCATTGCCACTATTCAGCTTATAGAAAATGAGATTGGTAGGCACTAATAGCTTCTTCTATTTCTTTGATGTTGATAGTATGAATTGTTTGGTGATAGTAGCCTGTTCCAGTTGTCTCCAGACAACATAAGTATTCCAAAGTTTACTTGGCACAGTATTTAAGGTGTTGGATTAAGTTTGCATAAACTACTGCTGGTCAAAAAGTTTGGAACTTCAGAAATAAGTTCTGTGTTTTCATGGAGACACCATCTATCAAGTATTGTTTGCCGTAGCTGAATACTTTGGGTTTTGTCTATGGTTATTCTTTTATCCTTTTGTTAAAGTTTAGTTGCCATTGACTGTTTCAGGTCACCATTTTATGGATTCACAATGTTCAATTTTGTGGTAGGTTGAAACCCGGGGGAGCTTCCATTTGGTATGTGTTTCAAGAACATAATTTCTGGGTTTTCAAGACTCAACTCGCTATATTTGCAGATAATTTATCTTCCAAATAAGGTACTTCATGTGTCCACTTTAATGTTGCCCCATTATTCATCACAATATCAAACTGTCTGTAGGTGATCTTTATCCTCGTAAGAACTTAAACACTAAAGAACATAGATCAAGCATTGAAGATTCTCGGTACATCATGCATGATTATGATTGATCCTCTCGAGCAAACCAGGCTAACCTTTCGGTTGAGATGACCCCTCTTTCCACCTCTGTAAGTGAGGAAATATATATACTTCTCTTGAACATACATATAAGCCTGTGTTTACGATCAGTTATAGCTATTCGTCTTCTCTTAAATGAGATTCTTGGACTCTAAATGATGGTAACCAGCACTAGAATGCTTTACCTTCTGAATAGGCAGATATAAGGTGCTTGCTTGGAATAGCTTTGTTCATCATTTCAGTTCAAATTTGTGTGATATGGAAGTCACTTAGTTTAAATTCTGCGGATCCTCTACCAAATGGTTCAGCCTCCATTCTAGTAACATGTGTTATATGGTGTTCGGGGAACAATAACTTAGATAACAAACTAGTGTCACTAATTTAACAACGAGCTGGAATAGCTCAGTTGGTTAGAGCGTGTGGCTGTTAACCACAAGGTCGGAGGTTCAAGCCCTCCTTCTAGCGAATTGTTATTGTATTTGATTTTTCAATTTTAGCCTTTTCTGAGTCTGTTCATCGTGGCTATCTTCTCACATTCTGATTTTAATATTTTAGAGTAATTTTCTGTCTTAAATTTGATGTTCAAGCCCTCCTAGTGAATTTTATTTTTAATTTTTAATTTTATCCTTTTTTAGTTTATCAGCATGGTGTACTTATGGTGCTGGATTAAGTTCTTATCATAAACTCCTGCTGATAAAAAAGTTTGGACTTTCAGAGACCATTAAGTTTTGTGTTTTCCAAGGAGACATCCTCTATCAAGTGTTCTCTGTCATAGCTAAATACTTGGATTTTGTCTTTGGTTATTCTTTTATCCCTTTTTTTCAAAAATTTAGTTGCTATTGACTGCTTCATGTCAACATTTTAGAGATTTACAATATTCAATATTGTGGTAGGTCGCAACCTGAGGGAGCTTCAGTTTGGAATGTGTTTCAAGAACTTAATGTTCAGGGTTTTCTAGACTCAAGTCACCACATTTGCAGATGACTTATCGTCCACATGAGGTACTTCATGTGTCCATTTTGAGAATTTTGCCCCATTATTCATCACTATCAAACTCTGTCTACAGGAGATCTTCATCCTTAAAGGAAATTAAAAGGACTGAAGAATGCAGAGCAAGCAATGAAGATTCTCAGTGCATCAATGTACGTTCATTAAGAAAAAATTTCCAGAATTTTCTATGTTCTGCTGACTATGATTGTCCCTGTCCAGCAAACCAAGGCAACCTTTCAGTTGAGATGACTCCCCTTTCAATTTCTGCGAGTAAGAAAAATATTTATACTTTTCTTAAAGTTACATATGAACCTGTGCTCAGACGAGTGATAGCTATTCATTGCTCTTCTGTTAAATGAGATTCCTGGAATCTAACAGACGAGTGATAGCTATTCATTGCTCTTTTATTTGTAGATACATATTATTTTTTTAGTCTGTCAGCATAGTGATCTTCTCATATTCTGAGTTATAATTATTTTGATATTTTTAGAGTAATTTCTTGTCTTAAATTTGATGAGCACTATGTTGTTGTTATTTTGAGTTTTTAACCTGGGACTATTTTTCTATCATAGATTTCTTGTAATAGATAATGTTTTTTTTAGTCTTCTCGGCATGGTAATTTTCTGACATGCTTATTTCTAATCATCTTGGGATTATAGAGTCACTTTTGTATTTTAAATTTGATGGACATGTGAGTGAGATTTATAATCGTTTTTCCATCTTAAATTATATCTAGCAGTCTTTCAGCACGGTGATTTCTATTTGTTTTGATATTTTAGAGTAATTCTCTCTATCTTGTAAATTTTGTGAGCATCGAGTATATTTTTCTATCTTAAATTTGATCAGCATGATTATGCTTCATTCATTTCTAATTATTTTGGTGTTATAGATTTTTTTTTTTCCATCTTAAAATTTGATCTTTTTAGTCGTTTTGTGCAAATATTACTTCTTAGTCACTCAGCGGCGATTGATATCTAATAATTTTGAGATTAAAAAAAAAGACTAAGAAATAACAGGTGGGTCCACAGCCATGTTGTTTTGGTTGGCATGGGGTCAACCACTGACCCCCAAATGACTTGTTACTCAAGCAATTGGACTAGTCTTGGGGTCAACCACTGACCAATCTTTATCCCTTCCGTTGAATCGGTCAAAGAAAGTAGGCTCATCTTTTAAGGAATGTAATTATCTTATCGTTGCTTTGAGAAATTTTACGTTGTTTGTGAACTATTTATTTAGCAAACTTTTCCAAGGGAATAAGGGTGGCTTCGTCTCCAGATCTCTCTCTGTTTTGATCGAGGAGTCTGGTGTTTGAAGTAATATAGATTTATATTTTTGGATTATAGTTATAAAATTATCATTGGATTATAGTTAATTTCAAATGAGTGATCCCCTAGGTTAGGTTAGGTTAGGTTAGTGGGATCTGGGTTTCTAGAAGGGTCTATGAGGGCTAGATTTTTAACAGTCAAAAAGTCAACCACAAGAAGCCTACAAAGCGACAAGCTAGCTTGTCGGATTGCAAGAGCCAAGATGGCGGAGGAGAGGGAGATTACCCTGCGCCGGTTCGACCTCTCGGACCTCGACGACTACATGGTGTGGGCGTCCGACGACAGGGTGACCGCCTTCTGCCGGTGGGACAGCTACACCGACAAGGAGGACCTCCGCCGGTACATGCGGGAGACGGTGCTCCCCCACCCGTGGTTCAGGGCCATATGCCTCGGCGGGCGGCCCATCGGCGCCCTGTCGGTGGACCTGGGCGTCGGCTGCGACCGCTGCAAGGGGGAGCTGGGCTACGTGCTGGCGACCGCCCACTGGGGCCGAGGCTACGCGACGGCGGCGGTGAAGATGGCGGTCCGATCCGTGTTCCAGGAGGTGGAGGGGTTGGAGCGGGTGGAGGCGCTGGTGGACGTGGACAACAAGGGGTCTCAGAGAGTGCTGGAGAAGGCGGGGTTTGTGAGGGAAGGGGTGCTGAGGAAGTCGATGGTGTCCAAGGGGAGGACGAGGGACTTGGTCATGTTTAGCTTCATCTCCACTGATGCTTCGGTGGATGGATTGATTGATTGATGTGTGGATTGTGTTGTGTTGTTCTCGATGCTTTCTTCTTATTTGCTTTCCTATTGTACCAATTAATCTTCTATAATAAATAATAAATAAATAAATAAATAACGAAGAGGAGGCACAAATATCTATCTTCCCCCTAGTGTCCCAATCCATGATGAGCTCATGGATCATAAACGCCCTATATTTATGCTAGTCCCAATCCTTAACGTAGGTGTTGGGATGTCCCATCCACTCTTGTAAAATCAGATTTTGATTGATCGTTTTAATGTCAAATTTTGATAGTCTGAATTGAGTGGAGTTATTTAGATCTAATCGATTTTAATTGAGTGGAGTGGAAAACATCACTAATGAGAGTGAAGTTCAAAATTTATTATTTTTATAATAAATATTAATTATAAAAAATATGATATATCTCATCTGATTTAATCATTGTGGAGAATTCAATCTAGAACATGATAACATCCGATTGACTATATCACATGACACTAATCAAATAGTGGAGAGTCAATAGTTGATTACCAGGCTCATATACTAGTGTTGTCATATCGACTATGTGGTATCGAAGTGTTACTGATATAACACTAAGGTATTGAACTCTCAACCATATCATTATATTTTTATCACTTATCATAATCTTATAACATTAAAATATAAGCAATCTTATTATATACTTAACTGATTTTATCTTTAAGTCATATGACACTCTTGTATATTTGTCTATAAATGGTTAATATTATCGAAACCTTTTATGGTCTCTCAAGGACATACAAAATAAAAGACGGGTTAGAGGAAACATTTAACTCGGGATCCTATAAGCAATTATTTTAGTAAATACTTGATAGACAATGCAAATTACAAACATAGAATTCATAAGCTCTGAACGGTAATGTGACAAATGGTCCAAGGTAACCGATTACGATCAAAAGTCTCCACAAATGACTATATAATACTACTATAGAATAAATAATACTACTATAGAATAAGGTAACGAACCAGTCCTAAACACTATCCTAAAGGCTCATCTAACCATGTGTCACTTAGGTACCTCTTATTAGTTACAAGTATCCTACAAATCAATTATGTGAGTGATGACATATGTGACATACTATGCGGTCTTTTTGATTATTATTATTATTATTATTATTATTATTATATTTTTTCACTTTATATTACTTGATTAATATATTGTGATGTTAATCGATTTATGCAATGGGAATTAGATCATGATAATGAGACCAACTCGCCTATAAATACACTATAAATGTTCCTGATCATAGGTTCGAGAGAGACATCGAGATAGCCGGATAGACCAGTTTACTATATACTTGTCCATATGATGAAGTCAACTGGTCTCATAGTTGTGTGGGGACACTAGGTATATAGTGCATGTACTCATTGGAGAATGAGTTCATTGAATGATCCGCTCATGGAATGCTAGATGATTAACGATACATCATCATTAAATAATGGTTCCATAGTCTCAGTTATGTATTTGGTCCTTAGAATTGAGATATCAAGGATGTCATGTATGAGTATTCCACTCTTTGATACTGGATTTATAGATCTAGAAGTTTCAAATCTAGCATAGCTAGTTATCGGGAGTAGTAGCCAATCTTACGAGGGCAATTGAGTATCAATAGAGGATCATCCACTCTCGATGCCATGAAAGGAATGTCTCATATATTCTCGCTCAAGCAAACCCTTAGCTAGGGTCATTCGGATTGAGAGATAATGAGTTCTTTGGGAGAATTTAATTAAAGTAAAGCTCGAGTAGATTCTATATGGGCCTGATAGCATCATACCCAATATACGATCTCTGAGATATTAGATGGATGAAGGACTATGGATACATAGTAACTAAAGGTAGAGAAGTTCAATAGATTAGATTCTTCTATACAATTTAGGGACTATGGCGTAGTGGCCTAGTACGTCCAAAATCGATAAGTTGAGTAAATTATTATTGGATGATAATTCACTAAATCAGAAGAAGTTCTGAGAGACACAACTCATAGCCAACTCGATATTAGGCCTAGAGAGTCACACAAATGTGGTGAATGACATGACGAATAGAGGATTAGATATATGATATCATATAAGTCCCTATTTTATTAGTCTATTGGGTGAGACACAATAAGAGCTTAGAGTGAATAATTGGATAAAGATCCAATTTTTATTAAGCCGGGGAAAATTGGATGATGATTCAATATCCAATATGCTAAGAAAATTAGATGAAGATCCAATACCCAATAAGGTATGATCCATTAGAGTTAGCGGTAGTAGCTCTCTATAAAAATAGATATAGGACTAAAAGGGTTATAAGGCTAGACCCCTTAACTGCCACCTCCCTAACTTCTCCCATTCTTTTTTCTCAGCTGACTGCCCCCTCTCTAGTGCAAGAGGGCAGCAAGAAGACTCCCCCTGTTACGTTGGTGGTGGTGCACGAAAGCAAGGAAAGAATACATTGTGAGAGAAGGTGCGTCGTCGCTTCAGCCATCATGTGAATCACCGCTAGAGACGAGAACGAGAGATCTCCTTCATCCATGGACTAAGATTTGCAATCAGAGATATACGCCTTAAGTGAGATTGTCTCATGTTTTATGTAGTTTTGGATTTGATGAGTTTTTCGCTCCCAATCATCGTATGCGATTTGATATAAATCTACTTTTTTTATCAACCCTATATTACTCCATCTCCTAGGGTCGTGGCTTCATATATGGAGCCATCCATTGAAGAGGGCTCTATCTCAAAACTGTCTCCGGCGAGGGAGGACCCTTATGTAGCTTCTTCGGGCCCATATTTGGGTCCACCTACAACGGTGTCGCCGTTTGAGAAGGCGGTTATGGAGCCCTTCGCCCCTTGGGAGGATGACGCCACCAAAGGTCCATAGGTTACCTATGCCTCCTCCCTCTATTGATCCTTCGATAGATTGGAGCTTCATCACATTCAGATCATTCGCTACTATTGTGCCCAACTGCATGGCCTCGACCCCAAGCGCCCCCCTGAAGTCGTGCTAGGTGGGGCTGACTGAGGACCAGCAGCTATGGAAGGAGGTCAAGCTGGTCGCCACCTACTGTTCGGGGTTGCTTAGCCCTGTCCTAACTGTCTTGACAGACCATTGCCCACCAGAGATACTAGCTAACATTTGTTCTCGTAATGAAATCTTAGTCAAGCCCTTTCCTTGGGCATATCTATTATTTTCTTTGGTCTTCCTCTTTAACCACCTTACTTTTGCCTTTGTACAACACTACCACTACATGATGACACTTGCCGACCATCTATGACATGCGAGAGCACTGATCAATCAGCTCTTCCAGGCCAACTCCACCCTATGGGCCTAAGCTAAGCGGCCTGAAGAAGAGAGGAGTGCGGTGGAGGCTCTGGTTGCAGAGTTATCCTCACAATTGACTCGGACCCACCTTCAAGTCGAGGAGGCGAAGTAGCACCTCATAGAGGCATGCAAGAGGGAGAGGTTGAGACCTTCGAATTGTCCTTGGATTTGGGCGAGACCATCCGCCATGCTAAAGAAGTCGAGGCACGAATGAAGGAGGCTCGAGATGCAGCGGTTGTCGTTGAAGACGAGGCTATAGAGAGTATGACGGAGGTTGGGGAGCAGGTCAAAGTCCTATGCTGGAAGTTAAAAGATGCTCGCTAGTAATTAGGCAAGGCCATTGAGAAGGGTAGGTAGATGAGGGAGTAGTTGTTGACCAACTCTGACAAGCTAGTGGATGCCCGTCTGGCAACTAAGGAGGCCAAAGGGGCCTAGGAGGAGGAGAAGAACCAGGCCTTCGAGCAAGAGAGGAGGGTCGTGGCCTCCTACAAGGAATCCGAGGGGTTCTGATGCGGCCTTCGGTGCTCCAACCAAGCTGCATATGAGTTCGAGTACCAGATCACCACTGGTCGCTTCAAGGCAAGGTACCTCGAACTCAAGGTTGGCGTGGATCCTTATGCGAAGCTTCCCTCGAACGTCGAAATGCCTACTCCCACGAAGGTTCCATTAGACGATCGCTTGATGTCTCCTCTAGCCTGATGCAGTTGGCCCCTAGTGACCCTTTTTTATTTTTGTTACCTCCCACTTTATAGCCTCTCCTTTGTGATGGTACTCGCTTTTACAACTCTTTTAGTATAGTTTAATGAAAACCTCTTTAAAATGTATTGTTCACCCTTGAAATGATTCTTGAGCAGGGTCGAGCATGTTTGGAATCTTTTTTCCTTGCTTTACCTTACTACTTCGTAGGGTAGTAGCCCCTAAGCCTCAACTATTATTGGATCGTCCTCTAGGGAGTTGTCTTGGGTCTGGCTTTGGCTCTTCCACAAGCGGGGGAGGCTGGGTGCTGGCTTGAAGGGGGCATGGGGTGACATTGCTATAGGTGCGGTAGGAGTACAAAGCCATAAATGCCTGAACCCTTAATGTCAAAGCTTAAGTGGTGCTTCTTACGAGCTAAGCGTGAGGCTCGTCTTCGCATATTGGAAAAGGGAGCAAGGGCTCTCCTTATCTAAAGTGTGCTAGTCATAGGTGCCCTACAAGCCAATCACGTCAGTGATGACATGTGTAGCATAATACCTTTTTTTTCTTATTATATTATTTGGTATTTTATCACTTTATATTGCTTGTTACATATATATACATATATATTGTGATGTTCATGGATCTATGTAATGAGAATCGGATCGTGATGAGATCACGATAATGAGACCGATTCACGTTTAAACACATACCCTAAATAATCTTGGTCATAGGTTACTCGAGAGGAATATCGAGATAACTGGACATACTAGTGTATTGTATACTTGTCCATATAATGGAGATAGCTAGGCTTATAGCTGCTCGTGTGAGGACACTAGGGATACAGTGCATGTGCTCATTGGAGAATAAGTTCACTGATTGATCCACTCACGAAATGTTGGATGGCTGATGATATGTTATTATTAGACAATGATTTCATCGTTCTAGTGGTGTATCTGGTCCTTAGACTTGAGACACCAATAATGTCCTGTATAAGTACTATACTCTTTGATACTAGACTTATAGGT